TAATTCAAAATGCTTTTAAAAAATAAATTACTTTTGCATAAATTAATACATTTGCTAGCCTAGGTAAACATATGTTGATCTCAAAAATGCTCAATTCAACTAATCACATTTAGCCAAATGTTAGTGATGGAACATTGGCAGGGGTTTGGAAGGGGAGAGCAGGAGTACACACATGTATTACTGTTTGCATCTCACTAGGAAATAATACCTGACATTTGTTTATTACTTAAGAAATTACAAACAGAATTAACCTACACTATTTTATACTCTTAAATAACTATCTGAGGTAGGCAGAGTAGGACATTTTTCTTTTTTACTATTGAAGAAATCTTAAATCCTATTGTTAGGACTGGAGAGATAGCATGGGAGCTCAGACTTTCTGTTGCCCAATGCCTGTGTTCTCTACTCTGCCACTCTCCCTCGCCGAGCCCCAAATGTGGACATAATTTAGCCAATATTCTCAAAATGAAGAATTCTGCTTTATCCCATTATCAGTCCTCTTATTTGCATCATAACACCCATCTAAAATGAAAATTATATTCAGAAAACTCAAATAAGCCTACCAACAAAACCATTTCTTTTTTTTTTAACTTAGTGCTGGGATACATGTGCTGACCGTGCAGATTTGTTACATAGGTATACATGGGCCATGGTGGTTTGCTGCACCTATCAACCCATCATCTAGGTACAACGAAACCATTTCTGAATGTCCATTATTCCCCCTTAAGTGATCTTTGTGAGTGCTAATGTTTTATTTATTTGATCTAAAAGGACACCTGGCTTCCCCAGGATGACCGCCTGTCTCAGGTCTTGACTAAACTTCTTTAGCTTTTGTGTAATTCTGAGCATGCCTGCATGTACAAACATACACAGACATGTGTGTGCATAAAAAAATTCACCAAAAACCCCTCAAAATCAATCTTGTCACCCACAGTGACAAGATTATTTTCATTTCTATTTTTCTTTATTCTACTTCATGATTTGAAACATACTGATTAGCAGTCCATTAGATTGAATTTATGACCAGTTTATACTTCATGACCTACAGTCGGAAATACTAGTTTAGCATTTATTTTAAATAAAAAAGTATAGTTTGGAAATCAGATAGATCTAAGTTTAAATTGTTTGCTCCTCCTCTTATAAGTTGTAGTGATCTTTGAGGCAAATCACTTGACTTCTGAGAATTTTAGTGTCATCATCTGTAAAATATAATAAAATATACAGTAATATAATATACATAAAATGTAAAATGTAATAGTGATTCCTATGTCATTACATTTCTTATTCTTTTATTCATCAAATATTTGTTTCTCAGCATTCATAACCTCTTCATTTTTCTTAATCTTAAAGTTTAAAGACCATTTTTTTACAGTTTTTTCTTCTCCCAGGCTAATTTGCTACCATATTCAGTGTCATTCTCTATATTTTAGGAATTGTATGATTAAAAACCAAAACAAAACAGAACAAAACAAACCCCTTGCAGACAGGGAGAAAAGATCAGTGGCCAAAAAGGGAGCTGCCATCCAGGAGTGCTGGATGGGAACCCCCTATGGAAGACATGGACATCCCGATGTGGACTATATAATGTGACATCTTCAAAGCATTCTATTCCAAGTCTTTTCACTATGAGATGATCAATGACCTGAACTGCCAACTTTCAAATCTCATTGTAAACATTTTAAAATTAATGAAGGCTTAGTAAATACTGCATTAAAAAGTTATTTGGGAATTCAAAAGAAACCCTTGAAGATCTGAGAGTAACTAACTAATAAAACAGATATCCTCTTGGATCACCTATAGTTGGATTTACTTTGTTAAGTCAGAAACCTGTGGAGACCAGCCAAAGACACAGTCAGTTCAGTTAATCTGAGTCTGACAAAGATGGCACATTGTTTGCTTTGCTTTTCCTGATCTTCATAAAAACTAAATAAATCCTTACTCCCACCACAGTGAATAAATATGCTTAGTTTAGAGAAGCCGCCATGGAAGAGGTGGGAAAAGTGCAGATAAAAGATACATGGGTGTAAGAAGTGAGAATGGATAGAGAACATGTAATTTAATCATTTTCATTTTTAATTTGAGTTTTTCTTCATTGTATCGATAATTCTTTGTGCCAATGTCATTTATACTAATGGCAGAGTAAAACTGTGGTAATATTTCACAACTATTTGTGTAACACATATGGCACGTATTTCGTCTTGGGAAGAGTTCTTGGCTTAGGGGAGTCTGTGACATGGAAGTGCATTCAGTGCAGTGGTGAGGACTGCGAGGCCAAGTTTCACTTTCCTTCGCAATTACTGCCTTTGGATGTGCCCATTTTCTCTCTTTCTTCTGACTTCTTTCAAAAACTTTCAAAAACTCATATATTTTAATTGCCTTCTCCCAAATATTTACATTTTCATACAATTAAAGATGTTATATGAGTTAGTTGTAGTCTTCTGATATGCAAAAGACTTAGACTGTGAGACCCTTAATTCAACATGTAACATATGCAAAGCAGGAAAGCCAGATATCTGAAAATAAAATTATTGACACTATGTGCTACTGTGTTCAGTTGTTTAATAATAAGCATTTGGGGGCCAAATATGTATGGGGATAAAAATTACATAATGTGTCCTTTACTTCTTTCTTAGAACCTAGCCCTGAGAGCTGAGCACTTAGTGGGTACCTAGCAAATGCTGTGGATTAACTAATGTTTGTATTAATTATGAATTTATAATAAGTTGAAAACAGTTTAATGGATGATGACGCAAACATTTAACCTTCATGTAAGTTTAGCCATATCTTCTTGAATCTGTTCTTCATCTTTTCCAAATGGACTCCTTTGTGGTTTTCCTGTATATGTAAGAAACGCTCAAATGGTTTCATGAAAATTTTTATTGGCTATCTGTTCTACCTGGAGTTTCATCCACTTGCTTTATATGATCATAGACAAGGAGTCACTGGGGAAAATATTTCATAAAATCATAAAAAGAAATAGTGAATAGAGGTTATTATAAATCTGATTATGAACAAAATGTTAAGGTATTGCTTTATAAAATTTGATAGAAGTGCTAAGCAAAAATGATAACTTTGTTCTTTAGGATTGATTAATATGCACGTGGTTGTTTCAGAGTAACATTATCATCTTATTTTTTAAATCTGTCTGGTATTTTTAGTCATTTTAATGATATTATATAGAAATAACATTATTCTGAAGTTATGGTATCAAAAATACCACGTCCTGAACTTACAGTCTGCAAAGCCCAATATCTTTCTCACAATAAGAGTTCAATAAGTATTTGCTGATTGTTTCAAAAGACTAAGTTTGTATTATTCTATCAACATTAACTTACATAAAGTCAATATCAATGAGTTTTCAATAGCAGCTTGCTTAAGTTGTTTCCCATTTAGTATGCGGTATATATAAAATTGAGAGATATTTAAGTCATTGCTAGAAATGAGTCCATAACCTGGCATAGTGAAACTGATAGATATGTAGACCATCGCTGGAAGTGTATCTGTACCTTCATACAGCTTCACCCAATTATGTTAAAATTATTACCTCATAAATTAATGTTTCAATAGAAGTCTAGTAGATAGCACATCCCTGAACTATAAATCTGATCATATTACATATCATTGTCACGTCTTTTGCCTCTAAATTTGGAGGCCCTATCAAGAATATTAAGATTGTCTTGGTTCTCTGACTCTAGAATCATAAGATCATTTTACTGACTGATTTCAATTCAGTGGTCAGGAATTAAAAATTAAATATTATTACTATTAAATGTCACAATGTAAGAAGAAGGACAGTTTCTATAAACTTCATATTTAGTACAACTTTTTCTTTTTTACATTTAGAGTATGATCACAATCATTCTTAGATAAGTACTCTTCTATAACAATCTATGTAATATAAATAATTTCCATATTCTGTTCCAATATCCAAAAACATTTATGATTAGCTTCTAAGATTCTTTATGAAATAACATTTTATAGCATTACTTGGGTCTATATGATATGTATAAAACAGTGTATTTCAACTTGCATGTGAAAAATGTTAAATTATTCAGTATCAATATTAGAATACCATATCTATAAGACAAGTGGGCTGTGGAAGCTAATAACTGGCACCATGTACCAGCTGTTAAACTGTCACTTTATTTCCATTGCTCTGTTTAAGCTTTATTACTGTGTCAGTTGAAGACTTTAATCTTTGTTTTGAAGATGAAGAAACTAATATTCTACTATTTTTCAGGTTTAATTAACTTAAGATTTTCCTCTTAAAAATTTGTTCTTGATTTTTTAAATTATATTAATTTTTTTCTAAGTTTTTTCCAAATTGTTGGTCAGTATTTTGAGTAATAGAGTTGTTAGTTAGAATTAGTTATAATATTAATCAAAGTATAACTGTTGTCTATAAATCCCTGGAGGTGGGGAGTACTTCTTCCTAAGTGTGAATAGCACTTAGCATAGTGCTGCTTTGAGATACAAAAGAACCGAAAAAATCTAAAGCTGTGCATGTTCCAGAAAGTGGACATAATTTTATTTTGTGTCGGTACAGTAAATGATATGAAATTGTCCTCTTTAAGTCATTTGAAAAATGTAGAAATTTCTTAGTTTAAAAAAAACTTTGTTGAAATTTCTTAGTTTAAAAAAAAACTAAGAGATTTCTTAGTTTAAAAAAAGAGATTTTTTAGTGTAGAGATTTCTTAGTTTAAAAAAAAAACTTTGTTGAAAAAACTTTGTTAAAATTTCTTAGTTTAAAAAAAAACTTTGTTGAAAACTTTGTTGCCAAATCCATGTTTCTAATGAATACTTATTGCCTCTCTGAATCCAAACACTGAAATTAGTCTCTCTTAAATTAATGGATTCAAGGTTCTAATGCAAAAAGGAAAACAAAAAAAAAAGAAGAGATCAGAGTCTGTCTATTCTCTGGGTTATATGCTTGAGTCGGATCAGGACACTGTTTCCCTCATTACTTCACTTATTAAAGGCTTGTTTGTCTCTTCTCTCAGAATGGACTCAACGCTCTCCATCTGGCTGCCAAGGAAGGCCACGTGGGGCTGGTGCAGGAACTGCTGGGAAGAGGGTCCTCTGTGGATTCTGCCACTAAGGTAATATTCATGCTGGTAGAATTTATTTTCCTTAGAAAAGAGAAAATTATTTAAAGCTTTTTATTTATATTTATTCATTTTTCTAGACAAGGTCTCTTTCTGTTGCCCAGGCAGTAGGACGGTGGCACAATCACGGCTCACTGCAACCCCCACCTCTGAGCTCAGGTGACCCTCCCACCTCAGCTGCCTGAGTAGCTGAGACTATAGGCATGCGCCACCATGCCCAACTAATTTTAAAATTTTTTTTAGTGTAGACAAGGTCTTGCTATTTTGCCTTCCTGGGCTCTAGCAATCCTCTTGCCACAGCCTCCCAAAGTGTTGGGATTATAGGCGTGAAATACCACACCTCGCCCACTTAAAGCTTCTTTTTCCTCTTGTAGATTTCAGAGGTTGGTTAGAGCACCAAGATTCTTGACGTGCAGAATTAAGATAGAAATCTTCTCCATTAAACTTTGCAGAATTTGTATTGTTTCTTTTAAGTATTTATGGGACATGAGTCTGAAACATCTGTAAACCTGGTTTCTAATGTTTTGTATTTCCCCCTTTGATTCACAAAGAGGAACAGATTAACACAATACTTTATAGACAATAGCAACTGTTTTCCTAAGGTTAATTTATTTTTAAAAAATACACTGATGTGGGAAACTTCTCTATGGAAATGAACAAGTAATTTTTAATGTTTTCATTAAGTTTGGTATTAGAATATGCAGAATCCTTTATACTCTAATAGAAAAGAGATTTGGGGTCATGGATTGAATTACTAGGGTAATGTTAGATTTTATCACCACAATATGTTTGGTAAGGAAATTGGACTCATTTTTAAAGAAATATACAGGACACTTGGTAAACCAGAAACTGTTCCTTGTTGATGTTGCTTTCGCTGAAACATTTTTGAATTTGTTGAGGATTCATTTCATAAACAACAGGCATTTAAAAAAATATCATCAATGGCAACAATCTTTGTCTTTGGAAGGTAAAATTTTATTTGGAAAAATACAATTTTTCCAAAAAATCAGAGCCAAGCCTGCTGACCAAGCCTAGAGCGTGATAACGTGGGTGTGGAAGATGCAGAGAGAGAAGTCAGACACTCTCGTCTCTAGATGGGACATTAGTCTAATCTGGAGTGAACAAACAAACAAAAAAGGACAAGAATAAATTAGAAACATGACCAGTTAACCTGGATTTCTAACCTGGATTTCTAACACCTCATGCATAACTCCCAAAGTGTACATTGGTTCTGCTTATAGCATAGTAAACAGCAATTCTAGCAGAAATTAAAAAGCAAAAACTAACAACTGTCTGGCAATTCCACAGAAGTAAACATGTGAATTCTCTATATGAAATAAATTTCTTACTCTGAACATAAAAAGAGAGTAAGTATTTTTATTAACATTTCTTTCTGGCACATCAAATAAGTTTTAAACAAATATTTAAAGAATATGTGTTTGAAGCCCAGTGCACTGGTTCACGTGTGTAATCCCAGCTACTTTGGAGCCTGTAGCTCGAGCAGCACTCAAGTAAGCCTAGGAGTTTGAGACTGCCACTGTGCAACCTCACCAACATCTGTTATTTTTTGTCTTTTTGGTAATAGCCATTCTGACTGGTGTGAGAGGGTATATAGTTGCACATGTTAATATAGTGTCTTCATTAAGCCAATTATTTTTGTTTGCTTAAGTGTTTATTACTATTTTTGTTTTTCCTTTCTTCTAAACTCTACTGATATTTTAAAAATTAGGTTTACTTTTATTTATAGATTAGCATTGTAGAATTTCCCAGAAAAAAAAAAATCTCATTTAAACAGAAGGAAACTGAGGCCGTCCAATATTAAGTGAGTGGCTAATGCTCCCACAGTGAGCTGGAGACAGAAAGAGCAGAAAGAGAACTAGAGTCCAAACGTTATGGCTTGGAATTGACTGGTTTCTGTTTTTCTTTGTGTTTTTTTTTTTTTTCTTTTTGTTATTTATTTTAATTACATAACAGGCAGTTTTAATCTCTTGGCCTCAATTTTATTTTCACAAAAGGTTTAAATTATTTTTCATTGGTGCTGGTGTTGTAGATGATAAATTTCGATGTAGCAAATGGTAGAAAATTATTGGTAATGTTTTGATTTATGTGAAATTTATTTATTTTTATTCGCAACATATTCCCCAGTGCCCTAGTAGGCGCAAACACAACTGTAAGCAGTTCATTTCTCTACCACTGAAAACTCCTAGATTTCTTTGCAAGGTGAAAGAAACCCAATGATTCAGTAAACTTTTTTTTAAGTTAAGATTTCTTTGCAGTGAGGTTCTTTAGTTGTTGATTAAATTCCATGAATCTCGTGAGATATTGACACACACAGATGCACACAAACACACCCTGCAAATTTTTGATTCATTGAAAACTCAGTCATTCTGCGTTAATACTATAACAATATTGTGAAAATAGAAAAGGAAGACACTATATGAGGTGGCCAATTGTGTGTGTGTTTTTTTTATGGTAAAAAATAATCCCGTCATAAGTGGGCTACTATCTTGATAAAATAACAAATTTTAATCAGTTAAAATGATTAGCAAAGTTGAAAATACCTGCACATTTTGATTTCTACAAAATACAGAAACATTAAACATTTCTATTTTGTTTCTCCAAAACAGAAGGGAAATACTGCTCTTCACATTGCATCTTTGGCTGGACAAGCAGAAGTTGTCAAAGTTCTTGTTAAGGAAGGAGCCAATATTAATGCACAGTCTCAGGTATTACATTCAGATTTTCCCTAATGTACATATATTTAAATTGTAACAGTGTTGTGAAGTTGATTTAATGGGTTCAGCTAGCTGTTCTGCTGATAAATTTATTATAAATGCTTTGTTATTTATTTTAGCCAAATTATTTTATTAACTTCTATGATGAAATTTATTTTTTCGACATATAATCTCCCTTTTCATGTAACTTAACACGTGACAAATGTAAGTCTATCATTGTCTCTATTTTTCAAAAGAATGTAAAGTTATTTTTTTCAGAATGACAGTGACATCTGTGAAATATGAATTATTCATGCAAGTTTCGCATTACTCTATAAAAGTATTCTCTCTCCGTAAATTTAAAATACTCTTGAAAGATTTGCATTTTAGTGGGAAATCTGCTGTAAGGTGGGAATCACAATACTTTGGTCACTTTACACCCCTAATGTTAGCTTTACTAATAATAAATAGGAAATGTGTGGTTTTAAAATGAAATTTAGAAAAAAATTAAATAATAATTATTTAATTAAAATTTTACTATAATCTTGATCCCCCCCCCCCACTTTTTTTCTGGTGGAAAAGGGGAGAAAATGTTGTTTTGCCCAAAACTTTACTCTTGATATCTATCATATAGTGTATGCATGTAGGGATTGAAAAATATATCTTTATAATAAAATTCATTCTCTCTATTTTTAGGCTTTTCTCTTTTGCCTCTCTAATAACACAGACTTTACCATGGAGGATATTAACAAAATAAGCCAGTTCTGTTCATCTGTCTTTTGGGATAACCTCACCAGCTTGCCTTTATAGGCCATTGTGTAGGAATACATATTAACTACATTGTTCATTAATTCATTACCTGGGCATGGCTCTAGTTCCATAGATGGCACAAGTTCTAGATCTAGAAAAAAAAAAAAAGGCAATGGTTAAATCAGCCCTATTTTGTTTGATTTTAATTTTGGGAAAAATCTGTTGAAATTATGATGGGTAAGACATATTTTTATATTTGTAATATCATGCTATTTTAATTGGTCATATTTTTTCCCGTACAACTCAGACGTTTAGTTGGATACACATCAATGTTTTAACATGTATTGAGAATATGCCTTAGTCTAAAACCCTTATTAGATGAAATTTTTATAATTTGGTACCATGTGTAAAGGACATCTGTATATTCTATAAAGTATAATAGCATTTTAAGCTTGGAGGGAAAGGTCCCTGCAGAAGCTACTGCTCCACCATAAGTGATTAAAAACTTTTCTTCTCTTTTTTAAACTTATTTTATTTTGATTCGAGGGGTACATGTGCATGTTTGCTACATGGATATATTATGTAATGGTGAGCTTTGGGCTTCTAGTGAACCCATCACCCAAACAGTGAACATTGTACCCAATAGGTATTTTTCAGTCTTCAGTCCTCTCCTGCCTCCCCACTTTTAGAGTCCCTAGTGTCTATTATTTCCATCTTTATGTCCATGTGAATTCATTGTTTAGCTCTTGCTTCTAAATGAGAACATGCTACATTTGATTTTCTGTTTCAGAGTTATTTCACATAGCATAATGGCCCCCAGCTCCATCCATGTTGCTGCAAAGGATGTAATTTCATTCTCTTTTATAGCTGCCTAGTATTCCATGGTGTATATATACCACATTTTCTTTATCCAGTCAACCATTGATGAATGCTTAGGTTGATTCCTTGACTTTGCTATTGTGAATAATGCTGCAATAAACATAAGAGTGCAGATGTCTTTTAGATATACCAATTTCTTTTCCTTTGGGTAGATACCCAGTAGTGGGATTGCTAGGTATAATGGTAGTTCTATTTTTAGTTGTTTGAGCTATCAAAATACTGGACAACCTTTCCTTATATCAAGAGAACATCCTTTTGCTTTAGATGGAGGTTCTGCATTATAACCACCTGCATGGCTTGTTAAAACCTAGGTTTCTAAGCTCCACCCCAGGGGTTTTGATTTGGTTCTGGAGTGGAACCTGAGAATTTTCGTTTTTTACAAGTTCCCAGATGATGCTAATGCTACTAGTCTGGGGACCACATTTGTGAACTACTGCTTTAGCAAATTTGAGGGAAAACTGGGTGTAAGATATTGCAGTAAGATTCACAAAGTATAGATTCAACTACATGACTGAATCAATAATGCACTTAGTAAAGCATGAAAATGAAAGCCTGGTTAAATTCAGTTGTTCATTGGAGAGTCTCCTGACTTTGACAGGAAATTCACCTATACATTGGTGCTGTTAAGATCTATGAAAATAACATATTTTACTTTTCTCAAAATGACTAGTTGAACATAGGGATGTTACAGAAGTTGACTAGTGGTAAATGCTGCAAGGTAAATGCTTGTTAAAGCTATGATACCAGTTATTACACAGTAGTTATTAGAAATATATATGCTTCGGAGGCTTTTCAAGGAGAGCAAGCTAAAACTGTTTAATTAAAATTTGCTTTCAGAGTCAATGAGGCTTTTCTTTATAAGGTATAATCATGCCAAATTATAACAGATCTTAAAAGGTTTGTATCATTATTAAGACATTAAAATAATCCTAGTTGTAATTTATACTATTAGCTCAATTTAACATTTGTATTCCAGGGAATTCTGACAAATAGCTTCAAACTCATGTTCATATTATGAGAAAGTTTTAGAGTAAGAAAAATTAATGATCAAATTTTAGAATATTTTTCTAAAAGTTTTTCTAAGTTATTTGATAAGGACTATGACATTATTTCCTGTACTGAATGTATGTACCCATTATTAATAGTAGACAAAAATTATTATCACTTAGAATATTTTTAATATGATGATTAAAATTAAAATACATGAATTTATATAAGACGGTTGATTATTTTGTCCCTGTATGTGAGCCAATCCAAAAATTGATGGTTTCAGGGCCATTGAGAGCTGATGTGACTTCCCCCGCAGATATTATTCCTCTCAGTACTGTCTTATGGAAGATACAGATTTCTTTATGTGACAATATTGGGTGTCAAGTGGATGGATGGGAGATATGCTCATGGCAGTTAAACAGTTTCTTCCTTTTGGGAACCAGAAAAACGACATAGGGATCCTGAATGTACAACATAATGTCTGAATTTTGTATTCAAGTGATACCTTCTTCCACATCTTTGTAAGGACATAATTTAAAGCATTGAGATGCAGAATAGTCTGAAATTATAGGAACATTGACAGCTGCATAGTACTATGCCTTTGGCAAACTTCCGAGTTATTTGGAAACAGACTGCTAAAATTATTTTTGAATTAAGAAGATAACACATTTTTTGAAAAAACTTTCAAGGAATATATTCAGTAAAATTTTTGGAATTGTAGGTTATGGAGAAATACACACTTATGGATTTTTCTGCATTTTACATATAAACTGTGAGATCCATGTGAGCCTTATCTCTACATGACACGGTGCCAATTTTGATAAGAGAGTGTCCTTAGTTCATTAAGAGTTCCAGAACACCAGTAGGATCAACTTCAGTACTTTAAATGGTATTGTGTAATTGATTTAGTAACAGTGAACAAGTGTTTATTTTTGTTTCTTTGTTCAACAGTGGTATCAGTGTAGTCTCTGCTGAACCAGTTCTTGGCGTGATTTTAAGTATTGCCCTGACCATGTAGCTCTCTTAGCTCTGTGGCTTGGTTCTTTGGTATCCTTGGATTCAGTGGCCTGGAGGTCTCATCCATGGGGCCGGAATAATCAAGCTAGAGGTCAAATACTAGAGTTGAGGAATGTTATTTGCTTTGAAGATGATTTTTTGCTTTCTGAAAACACAGTCACTTTCAGAAAATCTTTACTAGGCGTCTTATCCTCTAAATAATCCTATGTAAGTGATGTTCGGGTGACGTCTGTCTAAGCTGTATGGGACATTTGTTTGGTCACTTTTATAACCTGCACGTCTGTTAACTAGAGACACAACTTTTAAAAAATTGTTCCAATTCTATATTGTTATCAAAGAAACTCTACTTAGAAAAAAATTTTTTAAATATTCTCAGAATTTAATGAGTTTCTTTAAATACTTTAGCACTCTTTGTTGACTTTTTACCTATTATAATTTGCCTGTCTCTGATTGCAAAAACAAAACAAAACAAAAAATCCGTCTATATGCAGATAATTTTTTTCTCACACTTCTTTATAGTTTCAGGATTTTGCATAATACCTTGCACATATATGATTGGAGGATGAATATATGCATGTATACTCTTTCTGCATAAGTCTTAACTTTGTTGCATATTTCAACCATTTCTAACAGTAGACATTAATATTAATACAAGTAACAACATTAGCTGCCAGGCATTGTCTCTAGTGTGTTTTATACATTATTTCTTCTGATCTTCCTTTAATTTGTCATTATTGAGGACAAATTGAGACTCACATGGCTCATTTAATTGCCCATAGACTTCGTCCCCAGGCAACATTGCTTCTCATAGTTCCCATAACAATTTTACCTTCTCTACAGACCCCAGAGGATAATTTTTAAAGTTCCTTTTTCTTCTCACTCAAATCCTGTTCCAGTCCAAATAAGCTGATTTTCTTAAAGTAGAATCCACGTAAAAGGTTTAAGATGGAATTTCTCATTTAATATTTTTTATGAATTATAAGTTCCCTGCAAAATGTTCAAAAAATTGATTCTGCTGTGACCACCAAGGAAATCTGGATTTAGAATTTCCCCTTTAGTATTTTCTTTACAAAAAAATTGATTTTTTGTTCTCATATAATTTTTTCTTTAGATATTTAAATATATTCTTTAAATATAAAATCATTAAAATCAAAAGGAGCACTCTAATAAGCAAATTGTCTTAAAAATATCTATTTTTTATTATTACAAAACAAATGGGTTTATATAATGTATATTTTTATATGATAAAAAAGCTACACTGGATCCTAGAATAGACACCATCATCAAACATGAGAAGCTAAACAAAATTTTGGAAAATAGGTATGGTACATTTCCCCATCTTTTAGGAAAACATGATTTTCTTTTAGAAGAAGGGA